ATAGATTGTCTTTTTTGGTCTAAAATGTCATTGTCCATTCTCCACTACCGACAGTATTTTAATAGCTTGTCTATTTGTCTAAAAGGTCCTTGTCAATTCTCTACTACTGACAGTATAGAGAAAAATGCAATCTTCAAGTTTCAACACATACATATACAAGATGGAGCTCTAAAATGACAGTTCAATGATTCTGTAAAAGAGAAATATAAAACAATAGTGCAATACAGTAATATAATGTAGTATCTCAAATAAAATATTGGATGGGCTTTATAGTCCATACAAGTGCAAGTGTCCAAAACGCATTTCTCCTGATGAAACTGGCTTGCTCAGTTGGCTATGTTTCATCAGGCGAAACGCGTTTTTGACACTTGAACTTGTATGGACTATAAAGCCCATTCAGTATTGCTTTTGAGATACTTTTATTGATTTTTAATTTTTGAGTATTTTATTTGGATTTAATAAAGCACCTTCTTGGAAGATACTCTTCTGACCTGGCGTATATGTATTCCTGAGCCGGCAAAGGGGGACCAATACTGAATTTACAGCAGAAGAAGGATTTGGACATCCTTACATGGTCCAGAGGTGTATAACATCCGAGTTATATGAGGTTATGACTCCAGGCTTGTGAGTGACACCACTCTTGTCTACTATTACATAGTTTACATTATATTACTGTATTGCACTATTGTTTTATATTTCTGTTTTACAGAATCATTGAACTGTCATTTAGGAGCTCCATCTTGTATATGTATGCATATTGTTTATTTTAAAGTGGTGCAGGGGATACCACTTTTAGGTATATAGAGCTCCTCACACACTCTTCTCCATATTGTGCACTCATTTGTTGTAATATTTTTTTAATATGTCTATGGCTTTTAAACCTAGCTAGAGAAATAAATATGAAGCACAGACTACACTATTTAACTGTTACCTTGAAGAGGAACTGTCACAGAGAAGTGGTCATTCCCTGTTCCTTCACGCAAGTTAGCATTGTTTCAGTTTTTACTGAGATGATATGCCAGATAAATAATGAAGAGGGATGTAAAAAACATACTTACCTCTGATGCACTTCTGCTTTGTGGCAACTTAGCTGCCACATTTGCTCTGGCTTATAATGGAGAGATAGCTTAGGTGTGCGTGAGCAATACATATATTTTCCCAGTAGTGCCATGCACTGTGTCTACTGCACTGCAAGCTTTAACTCATTTAAATGGTGTGATGGGCTTTGTCTGGCATATCATGTAAGTGAAAATAAAATACACTATAAAGAGTTTTAAGATAATTGTTTCACAGTTTATATTAGGGTTTAAAAATGCAAGTCTGAAACAACTAGTCATGTCATAAAAGTTACTTGCCACTGTAAATCTGGAGGGTATGTGACACACTCACCAGGAGTGAATTTTGACTCACCAGGGCTAAATTTACACTCGCCACTGGCTAGTGTTGGCTAAATTATGAGCTCTGGCCTATAGCTTAATTTTGGCTAGCTATTAGATTGTGTTAAACTTGAATAATAACAGTTCCTTTTCATATTCATCAGTAATCAGCAACTGTCCTCATAAATGGTTTGTCATAGCGATGTTGATGTCCATGGTGGCTTCTCCACAGAAAGAATAGTACAATGACAGTGTTTTGCATAAAATTTGTTTCACATGTATAATATATGAGATAAAGATTGGTTCTCTGAGCCAATTTGACATTTGAGAAATGGATGGCTGAATAATGATATGCACAAAATCTGAATCCCTATTTAAAGTGTTCTGGATCACTGATGTGTAGTGATGTCCCGAACGGTTGGCCGAACGGTTCGCGAACGGTTCGAGAACGGTTCGCCACGAACGGTTCGCCGCAGACTCATCATTGAGTAAACTTTGACCCTGTACCTCACAGTCAGCAGACACATTCCAGCCAATCAGCAGCAGACCCTCCCTCCCAGACCCTCCCACCTCCTGGACAGCATCCATTTTACATTCATTGTGAAGCTGCATTCTTAGTGTGCTGTCCAGGAGCACACTAAACTTTGAACCTGAGGTACAGGTTCAAAGTTTACTCAATGATGAGTCCGTGGCAAACCGTTCGTGGCGAACCGTTCAGCAAACCGTTCGGGACATCACTACTTTGGCATGGGGCTACATGGAGGTTGTCATTTTCTTCCACCCAGTGTGCATATATATATATATATAAAACAAGATAGTTAGGGAACAACTTGCCTCCACTCCTTCCCTTTATTTGTAATAGTTGTGTTGTGTTGGTTATTAAGGACTGAACATCCCTTCACCTGGACCACCAAAGTAAATGTCTATCTCCATGTAAAGCAACCATGCCTTTAACCATCTCTAACTTTATTTTGGAAGTGGTAGAGATGGTTTTCCAAAATGTTTTGATTATTCTTTTTAGCATCAGTCCTTCAGGTGCTAATTCTGTGAACAGTAAAAAGTATTGCCTTCACGCTAGACACACCAAGGGATACATATTTATTTTATACTTAATATGTATTATCGTATTTACAGAATTCTCCTTGCCCCTCATTATTAAACAATGCCATTATATCTTTGAATCAAGAAGACTACTGTATTTTTTTTCCAATAAGAACAATAATGTGAAAGTTAGTTTTGGTATGTACTTCACTTCATGAAAATAGTATTTTTCTGTGTTCCAGGGCAGTATTTGCGATGACTGTGTGAAACTCACATTCTGTGCTCAGTGCACTCTCTGCCAGATGTACCGGGAGCTGAAAGAGAGAACATAAAGAAATTATAGTCGTAACAGAGGAAGACTATGGCTTGGTGTCACTTGGACAATACGATTTCTATGTTTGCAGCATACATCAAACTGTGTAAATGAAGCAGAATTGTGCACAAAGGACTATACAAAGGATATTACACACCAATAATAACAATTTCAAGAAAAATCAAATAAAGCAAAGTGGTAAAAAACCATTAGAAATCCCTGCAATGTTTTTGGCCGCAAGCAGCTTGTTATGGAAGTATATGTTTTTGACAAGAGGTATCAATATGTTTTGTTGTGGGTCAGTAAGTCACAATTTAATGTGAACTTGCCCTCAAAATGATATATTGTAGATATTCCATTACATATTTTACACATTAGATATCCACTTACCTATTAAGCACACTATAGGTCAGGTTGTCGGCGACCTATGACACACATGCTATACATGGCACACAGGCTGAAGACCAAAACAGGCTGGCGTAGGAAATCAGGGGTCCCAGGTGGACCAAAGGCCAATTAGGAACTTGCAGGTGTGGCTTATTTTGCTGTTTGCTTCACCCCAGTACACCAGGTTTTGTATTAAATTTTTGCTAGTGCCAACAGAGCTGCCAGCACCAGCAGTGATTATGGTATGATATAATATGGTAAACCGTAAAGAACAGCTTTGGGAGGAAGTGATGTTAGACCCGGATTGGGATAAAGTAGCCTGTAGCAGAAGCACTGTGGATGGCCAGCCTGGTTCCCAAGAAAGCTAAAATAGCAAATATTGTGAATGTGTGTGAGGTAGTATGTGTGTGTGTGTGTGTGTAGAATTGTTGTGTGCATTGGCAAGGGTGCTTTAAAGTGTGTATTGGGGTAGTGTGTCTCACAGTGTGTATTGGTGTCTGCATGTGTCTAGAATAAATGTGGGTGTCTAAATGCCTCTGTCTGGTACAGTGTATGATGTATATATTAATATATTTATTTATAAAGTACTTTACCAGGAAGGATACATTGTGATTTTTTTCATTTTCAAGTATGTCCTGGGTCCACAAAACATTGCATTGCTACAATAGGCAAACAATATATATATATATATATATATATATATATATACATACAATGTAAGGTGGAGTGTCTTCTGGTTACAGATAAATTCAGGTAAATTCTAAAAGTAGAACAGATAATAACACTTGATAGTGCAATATTGTCTGAATAGTAAATATGGTAAGGATAAAATATATAGTAGCACACTCACAAAATTAGAGCCTGTTATACAAGGCTCAATTTTCCAGCGCTGTGGGATTAAGGATCACCACTTCCTTCTTTTAGCTTGCCAGGGGATGGAAAAAATCCAATGTCCTCTCACATATCGGTATAAAGTGGTAAAAGTGCTTTAATAGTAAAGTGCACAAATAGAAATAAAAAAAACAGTTTAAGGTAATCTTGTTAGAGTAGTCTCTAGCTGCAATACGCGTTTCGCGTTTCGCCTCGTCTGGAGGCTTCCTCAGTTGCTCTGGTTGATTGTAGTTCATAATCTGTATTTATATCCAGTCTTTTGCGCCCTTTTTTTGCTCTCCTCTCCCTGTTCGCGGCATTTTCACTTCCGCGTTCCACCGGTGGAACGCATCAATCGAGTCACTTCCGGTTTCGGCTTTTGCGTTCCACAGGTGGAACGCATGCAATATTCTTCCGGTTTTCATGTTTTTAGATGTAAATAAATTGTGAAAAACAGTCCATATGGGTATAGGGAGGTGTAGGGAGCACAAAACTTCTAGTTCATTAATAAAAGAAACATAAGTATATAATAAGCATTCCCAACAATCAAATAGAGGGCATAGACATTCCAAACATGCAAATCTGACAAGTAACTGTCTAGAGAGAATCAGCATGTAAATCAGATGTAAATCAGCATTAAAAAGAGAAAGATAGGCAAGTGTTAAATAAAATATAATAATAGGTATAACAATAAAAAGAATAAAAAAGGGGAGAAACCTATTAAGACCACATAAAAAAAGCTAAATGGTTTATGTATTAGTACCTTAAAACAATATAGTTTATGTATTAGTACCTTTAAACAATATGTAAAAATTCTTAATTAAAAGTGGCAAACTTCAAAGTCTAAATTTAACCCATAGGGGATAAGGGTTTTAAAAGTGTATATATATTTCATTTCTTCTTTACCTAATAGTTTAATATAATTACCCCCTCTCCAATCTCTCTTTACTTCTTTAATAGCACAGAAAAATAAATTCTCTGGGTTTTGGTTGTGGACATCTTTAAAATGTTGGGATCGAAACCAGGTTAGCAGACGATCACCAATACCTTCGTTTTTAAGTTTTTGCAAAATAATGCTATGGTTTACTGTGTCAAAGGCCTTGGCAAAATCAAGGGAAATAACATATTAGTCTCCTTACTCCATGCCAATTGCAAACTCCTTACTCCATGCCAATTGCAAACTTTTAAGAGAGCAGTCAAAGTTGAGTAATTTGGACAAAAGCCTGATTGATCAGGGGTCAGATAGTTTGATTGTTAATAATATTTTCATAGTTACACGTATACATATGTCTTCACCTCTGATAACATGATAATATTGTAAAGCACTATGGAATATGCTGGTGCTATCTAAATACCAATAATAATAATAATACAGCATAGAATTTATTTTCAATGCACCCTGGAATACAGCTCATACAATACCTAACCTGGATGCAGGCGTACTCTTCGTCATACAAATTGTGCATATGTTCCGTGGTTCTACACTAAATAAACAGGCTGGGTCCCCTAAGCTCCCAGAATTAAAACTCCAGGCACAATGACACCTCTCACAAGAAAAAGTCAAATACTTAGAGGGTCACTAAATATGGTGAATTGTGACTGAGAAATTATTAATAACAAGTGATCTACAGAATATATCAAGTGATAGTGAATTATGACATGGACAATAAATTAGTAATGCGTGAAATATGGAATAGGAAAACATGGTAAATAAATGGAATTGTTATAATTATATACCTTTTTTTTTAAATATGACATTAGAATTAAAAAGAACAAAAAAAATGCAGAGGATGTTGTTATGGTTGCTACACTTTGGAAAGAAAATAAAGTTTATATTTTCAGTTAATAGCTATCATCATATTACTCTTTGCTAGTTTTAACATTTCCATTTCCCTATCAGCATAACAAATTAATATACCTAGAATAATCTATAAACACATCAAAATAAAGCTATGATACTAAAGTCCATATTTCCACAGAAAATCATGAAATAATCAGACTTTTTTCAAAGTGCATTTGTAAAACCATCACCCATTAATCGTATCCTTGATAAGAGAGGAGATGTATACTTAAAATCAACCCCTATTTTTTAAATCTTTTATACTGATAATACATTAAAAATATCTCCTCCCACCAAAACAAAGCTCTCTAGGTTCCTAATTCGTTTTTTTAATTATTCTTTATTCAAAGTTTTTTACACTGGGTACAACCATATAAAATTATCGACAGTTACAATCATGTGGTAATTTCATAAAGAGCCTCAATATATACTTTCAAGTTATAAAAAATAATTAAATACGTAATATAACAACAGAAAGTCTAAATTATATTGAGGCATTCAAGTGAGAGCAAAAAAAAGAGTAGAAAATATATGCATATCTACATATATATATGTTTGTAGTAGGGGACAAAAGCTGTATATATGATAAGTTAGATATATGAGCAAGTCGGTTGTGATGTGCCGAAACCGACGCATTGGGTAGGCCTGTAATAAAAGAGGGTCCACCTGTAATAGTAATATGTATAAGGGGAGAGGTGGGAGGGATAAACCAGGCAATATATATATATACACACACATATACATATATACACACACACACACACACATATACACACATATATATATATATATATATATATATATATATATATATATATATAGATAAATACACATACATACATACATACATACATACATATATACACACACACACATATACATATATATACATATATACACACTCATCCCTTCTCCCTCTCTCTCCCCTTACATTACTACCTCAAATAATAAATAATTAAATAATAGAAATAAACCTCAAATAATAAATAATTATTTAATAAGCTCCTAGTTCTACTGACTCTTGCATAGCAGCCACTGTCAGAGTCAAATTCACTACTCGGGAAACCTCTCATTCTATTACAGGTAATCTTCTATTATTCCATTAATCTCTGTCTAGAAATAGGTTTATAGAATGAGTAGTTCATCTCCCAAGAGCAGTCACCACCATAATCATAATGAAGAATGCTTGATTGGTGGACCCTCTTCCAAGTCAGAAAAGAGTCTGTCGTCTACATCTGATTACAATATATTTGCACTAACAGCAGGAATTTTTGAGGTTAAGTATTTTTTTTCTTTTTCTACCTTTTGTTTGCCTATTTTAAAGGTACATGATACCGAAACAATGCTGGCTTAATGAAGCAATTTTAATGTATTGATCATGCCTCTGCAGTCTCACTACTCAATTGTTTATGCAGCTGTAGGCACACCTCCCTGCATGTAACTTACACAGCATTCCTAAACACTTCCTGTAAAGAGTCATCTATTGTTTATACCTCTTTTATTACAATTTTTTTAAATTTCAATTTTCTTATCTCCTGCTCCATTAAAATCTTGCTAGACCCTGCAGGAGCCTCCTGTATCTAATTAAAGATCAATTGACTCAGGAAATAAAACCCTTTGAAGAAAGTTAACATCTGATTTAAAATTAAACCATTTTTTCATGCAGGCAGTGTCAGTCACAGTCATGAGAGGTGTGGCTAGTTCTGTATAAACAGAAACAAACGTGATTTAATTCCTAAATGGCAGAGAATTGAGCAGTGGAACTTCAGAGGTGTGATTTATAAACTAAAACTGCTTACAGCGATAAGCTATAATTATTTTGGTGAGTATACCTTAATGCATCACCTATTTATTTTCGAGTATAAATTCCTGGTATTGTGTCAACTTAGTTGATGCCAACGGCTCTGGTTATCTTTAATAAAGTTCTTCTCGAACAAGAATCTAACTCTTCTCGAACAAGAATTTAACTTTACACGATTATTTCCTAATTCTTCCTCACTTTCCTAATAGGTTTGAAAAAAAGTTTACATTATATTTAACAGATCATATCTAGATAAATCATTTCCAATCTAAACAATATTCTTACAATCGACAAATAAACACAAAACACATATAGTGTAATAATATAAAAAAAAAAAAAACACCTATATGGATGTGTGGTAAATTTTACTAACAATTATTGATTGCAGGTAAAACACCCAGTAAATGGTACACCTTCCTTCTTACCACTTCCACAACAACAGTTCAAGTAGGGGAAGAAAAAAGCAGACAGATAGTGTACATTTTCTGAATAAAACACTCACATAAAATGTATTGCACTTACAAGACAAAAATAGAGTATAAGCATATCACCAAATCCCAGATCTCTAGGTGAGCTCAGTATTCTCAGTATTCTCAAACACATAAACACAAAACATATAGTAAAATTTAAAAAAAATCAGAAGCCTTTATTTTCCAGAAGTATATTTTCCAATGGTGTTGTTGAAGGTGTTTTTAGGATATAAGTCAAACAATATTCTGTCTATTTGATCAGATGCCATCAGTATTATTTTCCTAATTTTTTAATTTGTCATTTTAGCCAGGAAAAACTTTAATTTTGTTAATTTCATTTCAACAAAACCCTCGTCAACCTATGCACCACTAAGATGCCAAAAAACCTTGCCAAAATCTGGACGTTGATAAATACTGAATTCATTTTCTAATCTGGACTAGCGGTATTTTGACTTTAGTGAATAATCCATAATTAACCCATAATTAAATGTGGCAATTTAAGTTCTAACTGTGGGGAAACGCCAAAGTACTTATTACAGCATTGCTTTTAATTCTAATTGTTTTCTTTCTCCTAAAAACTGCCCTTACTTACTAAATCATTTTGGTTACCTTTTCGATAGAGGTCTTTTAAAGTGGTCATACATTTAAACTAGTTATAAATGGTTGCACATCAGTTGTCATGGCAGTGGTATGTCCGTGATCTATCTCTGTCATTCACTTATCTCACTTTATTTTCAGTAAAACATGCCTAACCCATTTCTATTCACTCTTTTTTTTTTTTTTTTTTTTTTTTTCGTGTGGTAAACCTTATTTTTTTTTTTTATCTGTGGTAGTCATGACTCTTCTCCTTTTAAATATACCATGGATAATTAATACAAATGGATTGTTGCTCTGAATCTTGCCACAGTCTGCTGAAAAGTCCTATTCATCTTTACCAACGTAAAGGTTTAAAACAACTTTAGCTCTATAGTTCATGATATTTAATCTACCTTCAAGTTTCCTTTTAAATTTTGTACAGACTAGTTGTTCCAGAAAGATTTTGGGCTGAATTCTCTTATCAAATTACAATTTATTTTAATTAGTGCATATCTATTTTCCTGTAGTTATCTTTTGAGAAATTGCTGTTAGGTAATCTTTGTCTCCAACAAAGGCAATGCAGTATGGGGGCTTTAGGGGCGGATGTCATACTCTTTAGTCTTGAATTTCTACAGTTGGTGGAGGGAGCCGGAGAAAACTAGACTTTTCTTATTTATTTTTTTATTTTACATCAGGTGATTGCTTCCCAAACAGCCAACTATTATAAGAAGAAAGATTATTAATGTAGTTTTTTAGGCAACTTTTGTCAAAGGGTTGGTGTCCCCCAAGGTGACAGTTTAACCCCATAAGGACGGAGCCAAATGTACAAGTTGTGAACGAAAAAAAATGTAAACAAAACCTGGCCTTTGCGCTACATGTCTGTCCAACCGTAATTCACCTCTTTCATATTAAATGCACCCACCCTTATTATATATCATTTTATTCAGAGGAAACAGGGCTTTCATTTAATATCGAATATTTAGCTATGAAACATAATTTTATATGAAATAAATTGGAGAAAATAAGATTTTTTTTTTAGTTCTACATGACATTTTAACTGTCAATGTCATAATACTGTTTGCTTTTACTGCAATAAAATACACATATTTGTATTCAGCAAAGTCTCACGTGTAAAACAGTACCCCTTATGTACAGGTTTTATGGTGTTTTTGTAAGTTACAGGGTCAAATATAGCACGTTACATTTGAAATTGAAATTCGCCAGATTGGTTACGTTGCCTTTGGGACTTTATAGTAGCCCAGGAATGAAATTTACACCCATAAAGGCATACCATTTGCAATAGTAGACAACCCAAGGTATTGCAAATGGGGTATGTCCAGTCTTTTTTAGTAGCCATTTGGTCACAAACACTGGCCAAAGTTAGCGTTAGTTTGTGTGAAAAATGCAAAAAATGCCAATTTTGGCCAGTGTTTATGACTAAGTGGCTACTAAAAAAGACTGGACATACCCCGTTTGCAATACCTTGGGTTGTCTACTATTGCAAATGGTATGCCATCATAGGGGTAATTTTAATGTGAAAAAAATGAAACACAAGCCTTATATTTGACGCTGTAACTTTTAAAAACACCACAAAACCTGTACATGAGGGGTACTGTTGTACTCAGGAGACTTCGCTGAACACAAATATTTGTGTTTCAAAACAGCAAAAAGTATCACAGCAGTAATATCGTCCGTGTAAGTGCTGTTTGTGCATGAAAAATGCAAGAAACGTCATTTTACTGGCAATATCATCGTTGTAATACATTTTACTGTTTTGAAACACTAATATTTGTGTTCAGCGAAGTCTCCCGAGTACAACGGTATCCCCCATGTCTTGGAAAGTTATAGGGTTAACTATAGTGCTAGCAAATTAAATTCCCTTTACTTTTGGCATGGGTTGTCAGACAGGTGCCGCTAATTGTAATTAATTAAGATACCTAATTATGTAAAAATATTACATAAATATATATGTAGAATTAATATATGTATATATATATATATATATATATATATATATATATGTATGTGAATCTATATGTGTATATATATATATAATTTAAAAAAAATATTTTTATTTATATATAGGTATATATATAGTGATATATACGTATATATTTATGTATGTAGATATATATATTATTTCGTTCTACGTGTATTTT